TTTGGTCCCAGTCCCGGCTATCGGGACCGAGACCGAAACTAGTCCCGCATATCTCTATCCCAGACACATGAATACGAGGGGGAATCGACAGTTCGGCATCCATGTACTCCAATACTCAAGATGAAACTCCACTACTCCAACCGATACTCCCGTACTTCGCTACTCCGAATACGAGTAGCACATTTACTTTACTCTCTAGTTACTTAAATCAAGTAAAGTAACTACCGTTGTTACCTTTTACTCTAGCCGAACTATTAAACGTACATCTTAGAATGTGATTTTTTAAAAATTTCTTTAACTTCATGATGATGTGTTCTCTTGTTTTTTTTAATATTCTATATACTAATATGAATGGGCCATAGATTTACCATAATAATGCTCTAGTGGTCCTCTATCAATACTGTATATCTTAGATTTTTATCATTTTGTATGTGTCTATATAGAATATCAAGTGTAGTCATTTTCACATAGTATTACAAGTCATAAAATACTATCAGATGATCAACAAAATGCGTTTAGTGCTCAAATGTTTGGACTTTTTTGATGTAATTTCAACTGTTTAAATGTAGACTTAAAGAGCTGTTCAATGAACGAATTTAAGAACTATTGAATATTCCTTATTTGAAAATGTTATAATATTGATAAGTGCATGCGTACTAAGTTCGAGGTTCATTACTTATTGGGACACATAACTAATAGCACATTGTTTAAAAAAAACAAAGATTTCAGTGAATTTTGATGATTTGCAGATATTTAGCACATTGTATAACAGGTGTTGTATCTTGCACGAAACTACAGTTGATAATGCAGAATGGTATTCATTGACTAGCTGAATAAAACAATTGAAACTTATCTCTACTATTCGCAAGTTAAATCAATATAATATAAATGATATAGATCTCTGTTTAACTCTTAGTTGTGCTCGTTGCCTGTCATTTTCTATAGGTGAATTAGTCAACCGATGTTCATTGTGTAAAAGCAGTAAATATTCGAAGTTCTATAGAATGAAAAGCAAAATTGATAAGAAATATAGGTGAACACTCCAATATTCTTGAAAAAAGAATTTTGTGAAAGTTATCAAAGTACAGTAAAGTATTGGAAGAAAACTCTTTATATGTTGTATATTGGATGATAGCAGACTTCGGATTCGACTTCCTTATAGTGAATGAATACTTTAAAATATTTAAAATAGAAAACAGATTCGTTATATGTTTTATGGGCATTTACAGACGATCCTACTTCAAAATTGAACAAATTCCTTGTAGGAACTTAAGAAAAGTGATTCTTTACAAATGACATCAGTTGTATTGTCGTCTATATAATGTGAAATTAATTTCTATACGAACGAATTGACATCTTTCAAAAGAACATAAGACTTTGATTTTGTTTAACGACGATAGTGTAGAAGCAATGTTTATTAGTTAGTCAGTTGTTGAAGTCGATCACTGATAATATGTTTTATTTGTTTTTAGGCAAATTGGACTTATCAAAATTGATCGATATATCCATATTGGCAAAATCCATTCCACGACTGACTTCTTTATGGACAAGTGGATCTCATCTATGTCCTGATGAAAATCTGGCTACATTGATTTTGTCAATTGTAACACACTTTGATGAATTGACCGAAGTGATTCTAAATAAAGGCTGTGGTCATTCATATCATGTCAATCAAGATCTTCAAACGACACTTACTCAACAGCAGCACATCGAAAACTTGCTAAGAAATACTGATAAACTTCGAGACTCGGATTGTACGTACATTTATTGGATCTATTATCATCAATTACACATTTGGTTCTAGGACACTATCTAGATTTGTCATTCGTAACCTCCTACTATTACAATAGTTTTATATGCTAATTAACGTTTCTTTAGAAAGAGTTTATTTTGAATAAATAAATATTCATTTGACTTATTTACAACAACGAACTGTTTGATAACCTAATATACGATTTATTTATTCAATGATTCTATCAATTCTTAAACAACCAAATCAAAAGCAACTTTACGTCGCATGAGTTGGATACATCCAAAAGAAGTTATCTTTCACTGGAATGCCTTATTCACATATATCCGAACAGATTTTTTTAAGCAGAAATTTCCTTAAAGGTTTATTTAGCGTCAAATTTTCTGGCTAATTATTTTTTATTGTTAAGTTTTTAATCTTCAATCATTTGAACAATTTTTTCGTCCATTTTTCTTCTTAATCAGCAATATTTTTTCTATTACCTATAGTTTATGTCTGCAAAGATTAGATTATTTAATAAAAAATTCTTTTTTTTTTACGAAGATTTATTTAAATATCGACAGAGAAACAAATTTCTTAGATAATGAGTATTGATCCAAACTTGTTATTTACTATTCTTTCACATGAAACTTCGACGAATAAAACCAAAAATAAAACATTTCTTACCAAAGAACCTCTATTCTCATTGATCATAGACCAAAAGAAAATACTATTTGGGCGTTTGAATAACCTAAAAAAGATTTAGTTGATTTAGTAACAGTGGATCGTGAATTTTATAAATTTTCAAAACAAAAACGAAATGTCTATTTACTTTATTTTGAAGTTAATAAAGATGATGAGAATCTATCCCAGATGATCGTTCACAACAATGTATTCATCAATTACATGAATAACTTGATCAACTAAACCCCTCTCCGCATTAGAAGACCCCTGGTCTTCTATTATGTCTCGTCATAAAAATTTCTCAGGTGGGTCTTCTATTATGTCCTAGGTTTTTTAGCAATTATTAACTAAATGTGGTTTTCCAGAAAGCCAGAGCGATTTTCAGGATTCTCATAGGAATTTTCACCGTTTTGAGGATTGAGGGATACATTTGGACTCACTTTCTAAATATTTCCAGTTGAGAAGCCTAAAAACTGTGCACTTCTGGACGGAAATTCCCTAATTAAAGTTCCTAATTAGCAAAAAATTAATTAATTAAAGGAGGGTCTTCTATTATGGGGGGGATCCACTAATGTGGGGAGGGGGGGGGGGGGTATATCTTTCTTAGACAAAAAAGAATAATCAATCGATTTTTCTATGAAGATGAAGATAGTTAACTATTAAGTAAAGATGAACGAGAACAAGTTTCAACTGAAATTATTCAAAAATGGCCTAATCAACTTCAACTAACAAATTTTCATTAGATATTTTTCGATGATTAGTTATTTTTAATTTCGAAAAATCAATCAACATTAAATTTTATTCAACATCTAATATGGGCTTTGCGTTTAGCTGTTCAATCTGCTTATGCTACTGATCACATGTATCAATTTATGCAGATCATCAAACAAACAAACAATTTAAAACTGATATAATTTATCATCCTCTATGTTTAATTTTTTCTTTATTAACATTTTTTCTCAACTTTATCATTTAATGCAATTGTTTGTGTATGTCTATCAACAATTATCATCTGTAGTCTGCCGATTTCTTCCTATAAAGCTTCTTACAACAAATAAATAAAAAGTCTGAACATATTCAACTTGTAAATATATTCGAAATATTATTGTCAAATATTTCCTTTATTTTACACGAGTTTGTTGTTTCTTTGAAATTATTTTATTGGGTCGGTTCAATAGAGTTCGATGGCTTCCAAAAATTACTCGAAACAATAGTTTCGCTTCCAGTTTTTTTCAAAACGCTCAAGTCTACAATTCATACATGAATGACTTATAGATAATTAAATGAGCAAGCCTTGCATGTGTCTCAACTCACACAGTTATAATCTTTCAATATGTATAAATTAGCAATTTGATTTAAAAGAAAGGAGGGGGGAGGGGTCGATTTTCAATGAAATCGGCCCCCATCAGAAATTCGACTTTGTCTTAGCGATATCGTTGTATTCAGCAATTGCAGAATGCTTACCAAGCAGAATTCAGAATTCTGTGGATTTATATATTTTTTAAAACGAGTTGACTTCTGCTGGATGTAATAGAATTCTATTTCTGCTTGACAAGAATTCTGCAGTCCCTCTCGAAAATCGACAAATATCTGTCAAACATTGTAGATGTCGAACGAACGAACGGAGAAGAAATGAAACTTAAATCAATTATATATTTTGATAGAGTGTCGAACGCTGTACGAAATAGTCTAATCATATCGTTTTCCTCTTACTTTTTCATAGTAGAAAAATTTCCTTTATACATGTCAGGGAAAAAATGCCGCTTTTTATAATGTATCTCTCATAAATCAGCGACAGTACGAACTTAAACGCTGAAATTTTGTGTAGCAGTGCTAGAGGTTCATTTTTGACGATTCTGTAACACACCTAGATTTCAGTCATAGACTAGGCATGGGAGAGCTTAGAAACTAATGTAACTTTCAAGATGTTTAGAAAAATCTGACTTGGATATCTTCTAAAAATTTCAGCCTATGCGGCTTCATTCGATAAGAATATTAAAAAAAAGGAAAAATGGAAATCATTCGATTCCGTCACGCTTGGACAAATCGTAGGAGTAGATAAATTCTAAATTTCTCAATCGGTAACAAGATATCGATTATTTTTTCAAGTTTTTCAGAACGATATACTTGATTTTTTGCAAAAAACATCACACCATATTAACAATTGAACTTTTTGTTGATGCGCATGTCACTAGTTTTACCATCGTTACCGTCGGAGGAGAAGAAGAAAAACAAACAAACGCTACCATCGTTTAATTGGGAAGCACTATCGTTCTTCCACCTTTCATATGTAAACATTTATGGCGTTTTTCGTCGTTAAGAGCTTTTTCTTATTTTATCAAACGTAAGATGTCAATACTCGATCACACTGTATACATTAATGCAAGAATGAAGAAAGAAAGAAAATGAAAGAGCATCGTGTGTGTGTGTGTATATGCACGTATTGAGAAATAATTCAAAATTTAAAGTGGCAACGAACGATAGAAAAGAAAAAAGAGAATTTTGATTTAACTTAACAACATCACTATCACTACAATTAAATCCTTCAAGTTGTATTCATTTTTAAGTATTTAATCGAAAATTCATCATGGCTGATCGTCGGTTTACAATTCAGACTGAATCTCGTGGTGTGAATACCATGAAAACAGCAGCACCAATGAATGCTGTACGTGATGATATCCAAGCACCACTTACTGGTACTGGTTCATCACCAGCTCATACAACAGCAACTGTTCCTGAACGTCGTCCATCTCAAGCAGTTTTTCGACGTTTATCAATGTCTATGGGTAATAGTCGAAAATCTTCAATGTTTCTTTCACCGAATCAACCTCGACCAAATACATATCGTATGGAACCAGATAATGAATATCGTTTTCGTCCATATAAAGTTCAATCAAAAATACTTGAAGTATTAATTGAACAAATGAAAGATCAAACATATAATCCAGCAACTGTACATGAACTTATTAAAAATGTTTCACGTAGTGTTAATCAATTAATCAAAAATTTTCAATTACCACGATATAAAATTGTTATTCAAACTATGATTGGTCAAAAATATGAACAAACTTTACGTATTGGATCACGTTGTTTATGGGATCCAAAAACAGATAATACAGTATCAGTTAATTATGAAACGAAAGATATGATTGCTGTTGTGATTGTTCATGCTATATATTTTGAGTAAATGACGAATATTTAATTTTATTTATATGACAATTCAATGAAAGATATTTCATAAGATCATTTTAATCTAATAATGATTTAGGTATCTTGGGGTGTGGGTATGGGTGTGAGCGTGGATGTTCTTTACTTACACTACACCCACACCCCACACCCTTTTTCATACTACTTACATCAATAAGTTCAAGTTTAAGTTGAATATTTTCAACATTAACTTTTGATGTTTGTCGACATTCATCAATTTTTGCATATTGTCTTTTTTTTCTATTACAATTATATATATATTTTTTTATTCCAAAAGTATAAATTTGACATACTTGAACTAACATATCACGATATGTTTTTAAATGCCCAATTTCTGCTCGACTAATTTTAACTATTTGTCACTAAAAAAGAAAATAATCAATCTTCTCTTTTTAAAGATTATCGACTCCACAAAACTTTTTCTGTACGAATTTTTCGAATTAATTTAATTTAAGTGCTTTCATATATTTTGTTGCAGCAAATATATCATCAAATTTTGTTTTTAATTGTTTTCCTTCACTTAATGGCCTTAAAAATCATATTTAAACAGTAAAAGAACATCTATATCAAATAAAAATCTTCTAACTAACCAATTTGATTCTTCCTGATGACAAAAAATAACATTTTCTAGAATAGCTGTCGATACACCAAATGCTGTAATCATTTCTTTATCAAGTTCAATACATTTTGATGTTATCTGTATTGGTTCACCATTAATATCTTCACGAATAATAACACTTTCAAGAGTTCTTAAACTAATATTTGTTTTCTATCAAAGAAGATAATCTTTTTATTTAAAACAATTATTTAATCTTTTACTTTTTGTGTGGCAACAAGTGTACGTTGAACTTGTACATTATGTCCTGTAACATCTTGAAATAAAAGTCGAATTTGACCATGCATTTCTGTATCATGTGCTACTTTTGGATCATGTACAAATGCTTCACCTGTTTTAGCAACTGGTGGCATTATACCTGTTGCCATATTATTTTAAACATTCAATAATTGTTATTTTACCCGATCCATTTGGACCGGGAACCGGAACGATGAGCACGAGGAACGATGAGCACGGAAACTTAAGCACAGGAACGATAAGCACGAGAATGATCAGCACGGGAACGATAAGCACGAGGAATGTTCAGCACGAGGAACGTTAAGCACGGGAATGTTGAGCAACAAAAATTTCAGCACGAAACAAACTTAAAGGCGTGGATGTAAGTGTTGGTGTGGAGTTGTGCGTTGGTGTAATTCTGATCTTCTGTGTAGACGTGGACAACATGGTCCTCGACCCGGTCCCGCAGGGTTCGAGACCAAAAACGATTGGTTCCGCTCATCTCGGATTCTGTGCCATCTACAACACATGCACAATCACACGTTTACCCCCTCCCACCCCCCGCACACATCCACTAGAGCTCATCTATACCTACACAGACTCCACTTAATCCTGTTCTGAACATTTAATGTACTGGGTTCGGAAAAAATGTTTTCGGGTCCGATGGGCTCTACTCACAAAAGATTAGTTAATTAGGCCCGAATTCAGCAATAGTGATCGATTAGGTTCGAACAACGTTTATCGACTAGGTGCCAAAAAATTTAATCGGTCGGTCAAATTGGGGTCTAGAAATTCTTGGATTTAATAGTTTCTACAACCCTGACATTCATATATACAAGCACACTGATACTCGCACCCTTCAAATTTTTATTTTTGTTAAGGTCCAGGTCCTTATGTAAGTTCAGACAAGCATGCTCCCATAGCTCCAGAAAACCCACTCACATATACCACACCCATATCTCAAGTCCTTATTATTTTTCGTGCTGAACTTTTCGGTGCTCAACGTTCTCGTGCTTAACGTTCCTCGTGCTTATCGTTCTCGTGCTGATCATTCTCGTGCTTATCGTTCCTGTGCTTAAGTATCCGTGCTTAAGTTTCCGTGCTCATCGTTCCTTGTGCTCATCGTTCACCAATCCATTTGGACCGATAATAACTATTAATGGAGAAAAAAATGTTATGACTTGAAATATTTTAATCTCGATTTCCAAAGTTACGTATGCCTTGAATAGATATTTTATGTAGACGAGACATGATTTAAACTATTTGAAAGACAAAAAAAAGAGAGTGACTTAGTATCAAAACTTGAAAAAAAAGATCAATGTAATTTCACAACTGATCCAATGAAAAATAATTTATTATGCAAAACAAAATTTTCTTTATAGAAACATTAATGATTGTATAATATAATTTATATTGTATTTTACTTGATATAAAGATAATAGAAGGTCGCTAATTAATACGATTTTAATTCGACCAATCAGATATAAAGGATATGATCAGTCAATTCATAAAACAAAATAAGATAATTCTCTGATTGTGTATAAATTGACGATTCAAATTGGACGATTTTCAGTAGAAATAGGCAACAAAAGGTAGCTGTGAGCAATTTTCTTTGAGATTGGTGTGAAGGATATAACAGGTGCTTTGTACTATGATCGTTAGATTACAGGTAATAAGATGTTTCTTTTGTTTTTTATTTTTTGAGAGTTTCATAGAAACAGATTGAAGGTCATTAAATGTTTTACTAATAGATTAAAATTAGTGTTCAAAGTTTGGTTTTTAATTATCGACGATTTTGCTTTATTTTCGATTTTCCAAATGATTGACTTTTAGACTTTTCTTCTGAAATGAGATTGGAAGATTGTTTCCAACATTTTGTATTTCGATTGAAACAGGTTTTAATGGCTTAATTTTGATTTCTTTTACAAGGCATATTCGAAAAGAGCGAAAAATAAGTGAATATTTTGTGCCACAACTTTTACATCAGGCTACATTAAATGGAAAATTACTATGGTAATAATATGATCAATGATGATAAACTTTATCAAAGTTGTTTGTCACAACTGTATCATTTACGGTGTCTATGCTCCGAAAAATAGATGTTTGCTAAGAGAAAACAAGTTTGTTTTAGGTTTAGGTTTTCGAACACAAATAGATATAGAAAACAAAATCTTATTTTGATTGATAAACATGCTCTCAAGAAATGAATTAGATCCTTATGTTAAAAGTCTTAATCAATACCTTAGAGTTTGTCAGTAAAGATTTATTTAATGAAAAAAAATTAATTTTCTTCTTTTTTTTCTACGATTAGATTATTGGAAACAAGATAATGATGAATTGAGTCAAATAAAGAAATTCAAAATTTCTAATCCAGATGATTGTACATCTCAAAAAATCAATATGAATTTTCTAAGGGAAAATCAAGTGTACTTGTTAAAATGAATAAAGTATTAACAAAAAAAGACTAAATAAGAAAATAAATAAAATCATATTGAATTATAGATTGTTGATTTTGTCCCAACACAAGGTTATGTATCAGAAGATGAACATGCATTTAAATCTGCTCAATGTCGATCAAGTTCTAATGCTATTGCTGTTCATTGTTATGGAGAAATAATTTATTATTTCTTGTCTATGAAAAAAAAAAAAAATCTTGATTTGTTTTCTTTTATTTAGTATCCAGCTGATGTTGATAATATTAAGAATATAACTTATATATCAGAGAATGGTCATGATAATAACTGTAGTTCACTTGAAACCAAATGGTTTCCTTATGAGTAAGAATATTGTTTTTATAATGAAAATTAGAAATGCCTATAATAATTGAAAGACACCAAAAGTATTAAATCTTGATCGATAAGTTCTATCAAACTGTGCCAAACTAATAGTTTATAAAAGGAAATATTTTTTTGTAGGGATAAAAAAGAACGTCAAGATGTATATCAAGCACCGTACGTATGGGTTAAATTTAATCAAGTTAAACCAAATGTATTAATCAATGTTATATGTCGAGTATTTGATGCAAATATTAATTTTGATAAACAATCATCTCGAGCTCTAACACGTTTTCAAATATACATAAAAGATATACCAAAAAGTATATTATCAAGTTAAATAGATGAAATATAAATCAATGTTTTCTTTTATCAAATATATTCACAAGTATGGTTTAGACAATCAAAAATTATATTTCTATTTGCTTGTACTTTTTTTTTGTTGTGCAATAATATAAATGCAATTTTGTGAAACACGATCTAAAAGGATTGTTGAAGTGTATAGGGGTAGAAATTTGGACCCCCGCCCTCCCCCACAGACATGACAGACATCCTTAGCAACGACCTATCATAGACGTGACAGACATCACTACCGGACCATTACAGACTGCTACAGAGGCAGTATCGCAAGTAAAGTCTACTGCTTGTTATTAACTAATGAGAAAACGTGGAAACATTAGTTAATTGACAGAAATGGTATAAAATGGGTTATTTGTAGCAATGAAAAATATTGAAACAAGATATTTTCTCATAGAAAAATGAATAATTATAAACGCTATCACTTTCATTAAACTTTCAGTCAAGTTTCATTCTGTTTTTCTTGTAAAAAACAATATATTTTAAGAAAGTTCTCTGGTCTCTACTCCTCACACTCTCTGTAACAGTGCGTACTGGTTGAAAATTGAGACATACGTTACTAAATTCCTTCATTCACAATATAAAAAGCTTCATCGTGTTTCATATTTTTAATCCTGCAGGGATTGCGCTGAAAGCTTTTTTGTATTGTATTGAGATATGAATGATATCAACTGAAGACAATTAATAAACATTTTTTTTATGGAACTGACAAATATTTTCGAAGAAAATAATGAGTATTAATTGTAAGTCGATGTTTGCGTCTCGTCTATTACAGATTTTAGCCACCGAACACAACAATTATCACACTTCTTTATAGAAAAATCATGATTTTCTTCTAATAGCTATTTCAGAATTAGATTCACAGTTTCTCCATTATCAGTTAGTTTGTAACGTAAAAGTGACTAAAATTATTGGAATCATGAGTGGCTCGAAATATGTTTGCGAATAATGTTCTAAATAGTGCAGTTTTTGATTTTAACGAAGATAAAAATTGATATTTAAGATGCCAAGAATAATGGAAAGCGATGCATTGGCTTTGCCACAATTGTCATATGGTCAACATAAAAGAAAAATGTGAACTAATCGAGTTATAACTTTAGGAAATCATCTATATCAACGTTTATGAGCTTATCAATATATAATAAAAGTGTGTTTGTATGAAAATGAAAAGCAACAAGATAAATAAAAAAAAACAAAAGTTTCTATTTGCCATGCAGAAATAAATCAGATGATTGTTTCTCTGGTGATCAATTATTTTGAACAACAATTACATATGGTACTGCAAAAGTTTTTTCGTGTACTCTTCGGATAAATAAACAACAATTGGTTCTAGTGTATTCTTTTTAAAGTACTGTGCTTTAGTTTTAATGCACTTATGCATCCGAATAGAACAGTCATTGAAATGTTAGATAAGGAAGAGTCGTACGGACTTAGACCTAGAGAATATAGTAGATTTAGGGTGTGGATATTGGTCATCTCTTAATCAACACCTACATCGACACTTTCGAGAAATATCAACAGATAAAGGAAACTATTTGCATGTCAAACATGCCATGAAACTGAATAGCGATATTTTTCAAAAAGGAATCTCTATTAAACAATTCATTCAATAAGGAATTGAAGCCGAGTTTCCACAAAATTATTTTATCATCATTTATCGCTGTTGCCTAGAAAAGGAACATCATTCATATAATTCACTTGAGAAGAGTTGTAAAAAAATCGAAAATAATTCCGAAAGATAAGAATTCATGCACCGTTTTTTATGTATTTTGTTTTCGACATTTTTGAGTTTAATTAAAAGTAGCACACGTCGTATTTAAGTCCAATATGGAGAGGAGCCTATAAGAAGTTGGCAATTTCTAATATTGTACAGTAAAATATGTTAAAACACAATCATTGGACTTTGGTTTTAGGCAAAATTGGAGAAACTCTATTTTCCACAATCCTAAAATGGAGAACCTGGTTTTTTTTAATATTAGTAGTATCCATTAAGATCTACATGCAAAAAAAATTTCATCAAATTCTGACGTCTAGTTTTTGAAGGCTCTCAAACCATTGAAAGTCATATATGTAGAGCAAAAATGAGCTTTTGAAATATCCAGTATATTGACTTTTAATGACCACAGTATAGGCTTCATTTTGGTTCTAATACGTTGGAGTCTTAAACTAAATGTACAAATTTCGTAAGCACTAAAATTTTAGCGCAGAATGCCATTCTTATTAAGAGTATTCTGCAGAAAGTGAGCGAAGCAGCATGGCAGTTCATCGGAATGAAAATGGTGAAAAAAAATAATATTTCTATTTTGCACTCAATTTGACCTGAGATTTTGTAAGTCATAAATGACAATAGAAATAAATGATACTGGTGAATGAATTACATTGTTTTTCAGATGATTCAATAGAGTTTTCACTCAAACATTAGCGTAATCAATATTGAGAAAAACCGATACGTTGAAAATAATAGAAATCTTTCTATACAGCATTCAGTTTTAGGTCCGCAGAAAATTCATATATTTTCAGTTGAATCTTATGAGACACAATAATCTGAGCAATGTTTATCACTAGAAAGATGTATAGCAATGACATCTATAATATTTTTCGAAAAAAAAAATTAATAATATAGCCAAAATTTAGAAATAAGTACTAATCATATATTAATAATATTTTATCATATTCTCGATTATATTCATTTGTATCGACAAAGTTGCCAACTATGATATATGCAGCCACTTTCAAACGGTTTATAATTTCGTTATCAACAAATTAAAATTCACGTGAGGATCATTGCTTGTAAAGCTGTTGGTATTATAGTGTCGTCTTCAGTAAAAGATATATAGTGAGTATAAGATAGTATCTTATTCGAACTATTTCATATTGATATGGCTGATCAACATTCTTCACATGAATCTAATACATCCCATGGTGATTCATTACAGGTACTATGATAATTCTTAATGAATCTTGATAGGATGTCTTATCTTAATGAAAAATTAAATTCAAATGTTCTTTTTTGTAGAATCAACCGAATACAACTGTTAGTATTAGAACATTACTTGAACAAAACAACATGTTGCGTAATGATAATACAAACTTACATCAACAAGTACAACACTTAGTGCTACAATTAAATCAACAACAAATTGATTCTGATCGACGACTTCAAGAAACTTTGTTCAATTTATCAGAATCAAATAGAATGTTAACAATTGAACTTAATCAAATAAAAAAAGAAATTTTTAATTTAACCGGAGAAAATAATCGTGTCATACAGGAAAATACATATTTAAAGGAACAAATTGATGATCTTAAACAAGAAAATGTGTGTTTAAATAAACAGGGTGTGGGTATGGGTGTGAGCGTGGATGTTCTTTACTTACACTACCCACCCACCCTCACCCACACCCACACCCACCTACAAGCCACCCTCACCCACGCACCCACCCACACCCACACCCACCCCAATTCGGAACCACTTAGCGGTATAACTGTGCCTATTTCTGCATAGCATAATGCACCTGTAATAAATATGTGTATTTAATAAAAAAAATTAGCTCTTTGAACTCATAATCTTGCCTAGCATAGACACGACACCACATAATACCCATATTACTAAACATAATCCGACTGATTGTGTCTGTATTAGAACACCTTTTGGAGAAACAAATATTACCCGAGCCTAACATAGAAAATGTTTCAAACAAAAATAGACTGAAATCAACATATCTTACTCACCAATGATCATGCCAAGTATAAATGAGATTCTGGAAAATAATCCAAGATGTCGTTTAAGTGTTTTCTTTTCGATAAACAATACTTCATTTTTGCCTGAGTTAACGTCTTCAATTGGTCTACTAGTTGAATCTATTCGTCGTTCTTTAATAGATGTTAAATCTGCATGAGCATTAGGAGAAGTAGGTTCGACACGATTTGTATAAAGGCAATAGAGACAAAAAAATAATAGAAATAAAAACAACGCTTTTTTGAATCATGACTTCTACAACGTCTTTATAATTACCGGGACAAACATATCGTTGCTATTGTTGACTATTTCTATGCGTATTATTCCTCAAATATAACCGAGATTCGAAGTCAGTTCTTCTTTAAATCTTACTTTATAAATATCCAGATAAGCAATAAAGATATGAAGAAATATTCTTGTTTTGAGTAGTTATATAATAAAATCATCCATTAGTTGAAGCTACTTCTTATAGAGTGGAACATGTGAGACATTATTGTTTATTTGCTCTGTTAATCCTTCGAAATTCGACTGTATGTGAATGTTGACTATTGGTGTCGGCCTTCCTTTCACAAAGCCCTTACACTCACACTCTATTTCCTAGCATGTACACCCATATCCACACCTTTGTCGTTTTTCTTTGAATTATCTGTCTTAATGGATATTGTTCACATACAAAGGATGTCTCATGATATCTTTCATACTTTTTCTTGACGTAATGCTGAAATGTTTATCACATATGTATCTAATTAAGATCTTTTATTTCTGGAAGTTTTAGCTCTCTAACTATAACTAATATCCATTTAAAAAAAAAGAGCCCTGAGTATTTTTGTTTTTGAATAACTTGAGAACAGGAACAGCTAACGAGCTGCAGTTTTCATCAGTCTAAAGAAGAGAGATTGGAACGTTTTTGTCTGCGATATTGCATAAGAAGAAACTGTTTTAGAATTTACTGTTTTTGTGGGTGTGGGTGTAGGTATTATATGCTTGCACACCCACACCCTCAGTATATAATATTAGCATTTTAGACTTGATAAAACCTTTTTTTTGTCAATCTGTTTGTGATATCAAGCAAACAAACAGAGACTCAATGATAGAGAAGTTTTATTATCTTCTAGCTACAGATTATGCCAATACTGGCTATTTACATCTTAACAAGAATGTAAATTATGAAGTACAAATAAAAAATATCTATCTCCATTATTTGAAATAATCAACATTAAAATGCAATCGTAAAAAAACTAATATTTTCTTTTTCGCTTTGTTTATTTTTAGTTTCTTCTCAACATTAAATACCAATAGAGTATGTTTCATATAGGAATACATTTCTTCATTGATCTTCTATGAATAATTTCAAAATTATATGAAAATACAAAATATAATTTATTTACTGTGTCCTCATGTTCACTACACAATATTCCGGAGTGACTATCTGAAATGCTCAGATACGAATAAAGCAAAAGAATAGTTCTTTTTTTTTTATAAAGTTAATTTTATAATACAAAATTCAAGTAATTCTTCTGTTGTTAACACAAACTATTTTGCATTAGGCAGTTACTTTTTCAAGTAATAACTAAGTTTTATTCGATATTAAGAATATGATCATATAAATGCATACGCTGTTCTTTTCCTTCTCGTTCACATCTGCGAAAAAAAAGAGAACTGATAAAGACCAGTTCCAATTCTGAGTAAAGGTATATAAATAAATCTGTATCTAGTTATGCTACCAGAAATTTAAATGTTGGCTATGTATGCGTATGGATGGTATAGTAATTTATAAAGAAGAGAACTCTAACCTGTATGGGATACTGTAAAGGGTTCAAACAATATAGTGAAATCAAATTGTACGATCTTGTATGAACGCGCAATAATCTGTGATTGATCTCACTGTCTGATTGATCGACTTGGATCTATTCGTTTGAACTAAAACTTTTAGTATGTAATAATTGTTGTGAGATTTGTTATTGAAGAAAGTTTCAAATGGAGACTCGTTATTGCAGTTCTTTTTGTGAATATCCTGCAATATGCTGAAAATTTACTAGAACAATCATGAAAGGCTTAAGAGCACAAACATGTTTAATGTTTTCATCATGACTATGAGTCCTACTTATGATCTCGAACAGAGGATATCAGTTGGAGAAGTTCTCTCAATATCCATTTGCTGATAAATAGGACAAAAAAAATGTTTGCTCATGTTTTTATTAGAGTCATACAAATTATATTTAAAAAACAAAACGATTAATATATTATCTAGTTTATATTTGATCAAAAGCTTTGTTTTCTCTGAGTTATTATTCAAATCATAACACACAAACTAGGAAATATTTGATACTTTTCGAGAAAATATCTATATGAAAAAAATATATATCTTCACGAATTTTTAGGTGTAGTAACAGAAATTGGTGATATAATTAGATGTTCTTTTAGTTTTACATTTGGTTCTTGTCGTTGTAACATTTCAGCAACAGCATAATATCATTCATATGTGGGATACCATCGCGTAATACATAACCATCATGTGTACAAGCAATAAACATAGCATTAAATATATTTGATTGAACTGAACATGAATAATTATATGAAGATGTAAGTTCATCCATAACAAGACGCATCATATCTTTAATAAGATCGAGAACAATTTTATTTTCATAGAATTGTCGAGAAAGTGGATCAGACCATCTAAAATATAAATATATACACAATGGCTACCAAAATGATTCAACTTTTACTCAATAAAAAAACTATCCTAGAGAGTTCAAGCACTAGATACTGAGAAATTAGGCTTTTAGGTTGTCTAAAATTTTTACTTAGGGGATCAAATAATCAATGTTTTTAATTTATATTCTTTTTGTAATATGGTTTGCTCTACTTGAATCATTATTTGAAATTATGATAGATACTGTATATCCATTCATTAAATAGATCAAATAATAGAATTGAATCTTACTTTGTAAATGTTAATTTCATTTTTTGACACCAATGAAGTAGCATAAGTGTTTCTAAAATAAGTACTTCACCCATGATATATAAATTGGTAACATATAATAATGATGAACAAGATTGATCTGGTGGTTTTCTTAAACCATAATATGGATTTTCAAGAAGAATTGAACCTATAGGATATTGATTAATTAATGGGACTACAGTAAATAACCTTCGTCCACTAAAACCTTGATCACGTGATAGAACAAGTTGAAAATGAGCTGTAGCTACTTGAGATGAAACCTATTTAAATAAATACAACAAAAGAAAAAAGATAATATTAATTAAATGATTAAAATAACTTTAATTACTTACCAAATGTGATAAATAATTGGCAAGTGATGAACCAAATCGAGCATTTATATAATTTTAATTATCTTTTTGTTTCTTGTTTCATTATTTCAACAGTATTTTCCTGTACATTTTCAGCTGGTACAAGTTCTAAACACTCATCTCTTACACCAATTTTTTCACGTCGATAGGTAAAAATTTCTTGTAAATGAAATGAATTTGCCCAACCACGTACAAATGATTGAGTTAATATAAAACATCGAAAGAGATTATCGAAATTCATCATTTCAATCGTACTCGAATCTTTAATATCATCCAGAGAATTGTTAATTTCATCTTCTTTTTCTTTAATCGAACAAAAAACAGGACAATACAATGCTTTAGTATTCTCAATAGTTTATAAACACACACATATATACAAAAAACTCTTATATGTCCTTTTTATTTTCCTAAATCAATCTCGTTAGTTTACTATGAAAAGAAAAAACAATATTTTTATTGCATAGCACCAGTAATGTTAAGTAACATTTGAGGACCATGTAGTAAATAGACGATATTTCTTGATTTTGATAGTTGATTTGCAATACCTTCAGCGGCTTCAATTCGTCGAAGTTCGATCAAACCTAACATGAATATTAAAACAAAGTTAGACAGGATAATAAAAGATATTCGAAAAATTACCATCACCAGCTTCATCTAAAACTTTGCCAATCAAATCAGCTGCACGAGTATCACCTTCTGCTGCAATAACATTTGCTCAACGACTTTGTTCCGTCTGGTTTTTTTTATCAAAAAAAACAAACTCATACAAATCTTATTCTTATTGATTTACTTTTTCAACTAAAAATCGTTGTTTTTCAACATCTTGCTGTGCAACTTGTTTTAATTCAACAGCACTTGTAAATTCAGATCTAAAACGTAAATGTGTCTAATTTAAAGAAAAAAAAACAATATAATCAACTCGAGACTCTTTTTTGTTGTATCTTACAGTTGAAATATCATCAAGTAATAAACCAAATTGAGCAGCACGTTCTATTAATAATTCACTAATACGTTGCGGAATAAGTGTGCGTTGTGTAATCAATTCAATAGCATCAAATTGAGACTTAGTACAACAGATTTTAAAACTTCATTAATAATCGATGGTAAAACACGTTCTTCATAATCTAAACCCAAATTTGCAAAAAATTTTTGGTAAAAGTTCAGCTCTTGGTCGATAAAGAATACGTAATTTTATATTAATCGTTTGTAAATCCAACCGATCAGTTGAGTCACCATCGATGGCCGCAAAATTTTTTAAGATACCTCAGCCATATACATTCATTGATGTTTGAATAGACATCGTATTTACCTTCTTTTTTTTGCGAGCTTACATTTTCCTCATGTTTACCTCTCTCCTGAAGTTGACTGT